TATATATATATATATATATATATAACTCGTGAAAACCACGGTTATAAAATTAATTAAATTTTCATAGTAAAAACTTAAAATTATTTATCAATTATTTCAAATAAATTATTAATTAAGAGATATTTTTTTAATTATATAAAATTATAATTGTTGATTTAAATGAATACATGAAATTATATCACCTTATAATATATATTAATTTTATTTTATTTTTTATTTTAATGTTATTAATTAAATGTAATTAAAGTGTGAAATTTAAAATTGGAAATTTAAAATGAAGAATCAATTATTAATTTAATGTAATTAAAATGGGAAATTTAAAATTTAAAATTTAAAATGAAGAATTAATAGGTTGACATGTGGCATGATATGTGACATATAATATTAATGAGGATTTCTAATATTATGACACTTGTCAATATGAGAATAAACTGTCACACCCCCGAACCAAACGGCGGAATCGTCCGGGGGCTCGTGTGACTATCAATTGAATTATCATCACAATGAATATACATGAAACATAACACAATCATCACCAAACATAACATATTACATCTGATATTGTTCACATCAAGTACATTGTCTTGGGTTACATATTCCAAAATATTAATTGTACGATGATTGATATTACACAAAATAAATCCACACTCTTGAAGGTTCTTCTGCTTAACGGTTACCTGAGAATACAAGTTATTTTGAAAACGATCAACATATATAATGTTGGTGAGTTCATAAGCATGTTTGAATGAAAGATTTTTGTATTGTTTGTAAATCCAGAAAATCCGATATTTTCTGTAAAAAGTCTGAAAAATGATGTGAAAATCAAGTATAGTTGCATGTGTGAATTTCATAGTAAAAACATGTATAAGTATGCAGTCCAAATTTCTTTGTATTCTTTTTGTTGTAAGTAGAGGGTAATTGAATAATAGTGTTTCCCCATAAAATCCGATATTTTCTGATTTATAAAAATGTTGCAGTCCTTGCATTATCGTATGATTTGTTTGGTATCAATATGATTTACGAGTTTTGATTTCCGTAATGTCGTGATGGTAATGGATCTCTATATGAGTCGTTATAACCATGCATGATAGTGACTGGATTTGCCTGTCTTGGCATTTTTCCAAACGCCGGATTTGATCAAGGTTTTGTCACCCTATACTGGCCTAGTCTAACTGTAGCGAACAACTCAGGTGTGGGGGAGTCACCCCCGTATAGATCTATACACAAACTCTCGCTCTCCCTCCAGGAGACTCTGATTATAACTACAGGCTACGGCCATACACTCAATGGTGTCAACCGACAAGTCTCACTATATCCTAATTATTGCCACATGAATATGTATAACGTTATGTGTATTTAGAATTACGAACATCAGATAATACATGAACGTGAAAGGATAAGGCCCAACAAACATGAAGAAAAGACAATTGTGGCCCATTAGACATGTAAGTTATTTCCAGGCTTGTTAAGTATGCAATGGACACACTAAAGCCCATTAAGCATAAGATGAATTATTCCAGGCTAAATTAGCATGTAAATTGGCCACTAAGGCCCAATAACATGTAAAGGCTAATATAGGCCCATTAAGCATGTAATTGGATCGCGAAGGCCCAATCGACATGAAATGATTATATTGGGCCCAATAAACATGCATATGGATCACGAAGGCCCAATAAGCATGTATAGCGAGTACCAGGCCCAATAGTCGTATCGTTGTTGTATTTCGTTTGTTTCTTATAGTATAGTTCATTTAGTCGAAACATTTATCCATAATGTTATAAAAAGTCTCGTGTTTTGTTATAATGATATTTTTAGTTCGATACGTCAAAATTCTATAATTTGAACCTGTTTTTAATAAAAATTACACTTTAGGTCCCTTAAGAACTAATTTGAACATTTACAGGTTATTTTTGCATAAAATGTCATTTTTAGTCTATTTTAATTAAAAATAACATTTTAGCCCATTAATTTATAAAAATTTATATTTTCGCCCTAAATGTTTAGTAATTGACGGGTTTGGCCCAAAAATACATATATTGCCATTTTCAGCCCATCTTTGCAGAAAATTACATTTTCAGCCCTTATTTGAATAAAATGATATTTTCGGCCCAAACTTTATAAAATTTACATTTTTGGCCTAATTTTGAAATAAGTGTCATTTTCAGCCCCTAAATTTGTAAGTTTTCATTTTTGGCTCCAGTTTTGATCAAATTACATTTTTGTCTATAAAAATTTATATTTTTGCAATTTGGGCCCAAAAAGCCGTAAGGCCCAAATTAAGGCCCATGATGCAAAATATTACACTTTTGGTCCTTTGGAAGGTATAGTTGTTATAAAAACTTTTTTTTATACAAATGTGGCCCTTTTGATCCTAACAAAACCGTAAGTGGCAAAATTTTCCCAATCTTTTGT